GAATTGATTATTACACTTCAAAATAACCATGCCACAAGCATGCAAAAATAGACTATGACTATTTTATATACGCATATGATACGGGTTTTAGCCGGCAATGTAAGCATTGCAAATTATGTTGACAAGGACATGTAATCATGAGAAGTGAAATGTGCAAAGGTCGATAAAAAGTGAATGTGCAAGATCGATAAAAAAGTGGAAACACCATTCAAAGAGAGACAATTGAATTTAAGTGCTCGTGATGTAACAGAAGAAGTATGAATATCAGACAAGAATGAAAGGCTATGCATACACAGATCCAAAAGAATTGTCAATACTGCTGCTGCAAGATATAGACTCATTCATTTCATCAACAATTTGTCCTGTTTCAATTCAACCCAAATAACGAATCTGACAATAATAGAGAATGAAGGCATGATAGGCCCATGAAAAGCATTGGTTGTTTCAAAACCATGATTAGTAGAAAGCAAATGGTTATAAATTACCAAAGAGGTTACTTTTACCAATTGAGCTCATAGAGTAGTGAACCATTTGCAGATCGAATCATCCAAACAGTAACATGTATATGTAACTAACTCCTACATGTGTGAAGAATTTCCGAATGACTATGGCATCATATGTAAGCTAACTAGCCACAAACATATGAAAAATTATTTAACATTCTAGTATAAGATTGAAACAAAGAGTTCAAGAAAACAGGACAGTTTACTCAATTATGCAAAATTTTTATAAAACAATTGAACTAATGCAAAACATCAGAATAGTCCATTGAAAGATGAAAAAGACAACTTCGAGGGCAATCCTCTACCAGGGAAACAAAAGACTAGCATACATGCTGAACAAAATGAAGAAACTGGAATATGTGGGTTACGAGGAAGATGGAGAAACTAGAAAATCACCTGTTTCTCAAAATAAGCGAGCTCACTTTCTTCAGATGGAATATGCTCCAAAATATGTCTGACTGGATCAAAATTCTACATTTAAGAGGTAGTTGCAAAGCTTTTAAGACCGATAATTCAAATTTAATCCACACAGAAATGGTAACCGTTGAATAAACACTCCGTCAAGAAGTGGAAGCATTAGCAAGTATTATTAGAGAGAAAGAGAAGGTATAAAATTACCAACGAAAACATAACCACAACAACAACAAAATAATAATAGCAGCCCACTATTCTAAAAATCTCCGTCTAGCGCCGTCTTGGCCCTGCCTAGGCGCTAAGCGGCTAGCCACCGCCCTAATTAGTCCCTAGGCATTTCAAAATTAAAGGGCACCCAGACCCGCTTAAGCGTCTGCCTAGCCTGCCTAAACCCGCCTACGTACCCTCCTAGGTTGCGACTCCCACTTAGACAGAAAATCCATAACTTTCATTTTGCATTTTATTTTTTCAATAAAATGTAAAAGACTTATTGGATACTTGAATGAACACTCATTATATGTTTGTTCCCTATGCTTTCAATATGTTCTAATACTTTATAGTCATTTTCTTATGCAATTTATGCATCCTAATACAATTATGTGTTTTTTAAAATATAAATAGGCACTTATTTATACAATATATAATTAATTTACTTAAATCCACCTAGCCCACCTAGGCGCCTAGGCGCTAGGCCCCAGCCCGCCGCCCGACTAGTGCCTAGCGTCTTTTAGAACCTTAGCAGGTGCTCTTAATGACTAACATGACGTCAATAAAAATGGTTCATTTTGTTTGTGACTTAACTTAAGGTTTGTTGAAAGATAAAGGATCCCAATAACATAGTAAAGCAAGGAAAGAGAAGGGAGTGGTAGAATTATGATATAATTCATTTCTCTACCATACACTTTATGTGTACATAGCCGACCCCACTTAGTGGGAAAAGGCTTTGTTGTTGTTGTTGTTGTACACTTTATGTGTACAAAGTAATGAATTACAAGTCCAAAAGTCATAATCGTACTGTGGAGAATACATACTTAGACTACTTAGAATAATTTATAAGGTTGGAGCGAGGGAATCCAAGTTGTTTTAATGATTTGCTCCTCATTGTCATCAACCGCAAAATGTTTAAGATATGGATTTTCAACTACCTCTGACATGATTAAATATTTCAAAACAGCTTCTTATAAGAATAACTAAGAAAATGAATAAATAATTGCCCAAATAAATGAAAATATATCATTTTTGGTTGTTGAGAAAAATTATCTCCTACATGTGTGAGCTACCAATAGCATGTGCAACACCGCAGTTCCACAAATATAAATCTCATGAGGGCTAGTCTTTTGATTGACACAAACGTTTTATAACTGAGGAAGTATCACAGAACACAATTGACATTTCTTCTTGTGGTTGTCAAGAAAACTATTTCCTATGATAATGAGCTACCGTTAGCAACCTTTCTACTACTTGAAACATGGAAGATGACTTGGTAAATTTTTAAATAACCTAACACTAACAAACTACAAGTCATGAGGGCTACAAAATAAAATAAAATAAAAACATAATTATATAGTAGCACCTCTTCATAGAATTCTTCCTCTATCTCCTCTACTTCTTGACCATGATGTTTGCTTCCATATATCGAGCTCAATTCTTCAGAGCTTGATGATAGACTAAACCTTTGATGCGGAGGCAGTCCAGCAATAGCACGAGCAACAGCTGCGGCAGCTGCAGCTCGTGCGGGAACCTGTTCGAAAAGGTAAACAACACATGAATACATTAAGAACGGAAAATTAATGTTAACCCTGTGCCAAGCAGCTAAATTTTGCAGTAAGCACAACATTTTCGTTCCCTACTTCACAGTGAATTAACTAGAATGTCAGATTAATAAGCATTGCTCTTAAAATGATACTTATTCAACTAAACCTTCTTCTTAATTACCATGAAACCGCAGATAATCACCCAAAACAAACTATTATTCAGTATATAAAGCAAAATTCACACACTTAGAACAAACACTATCAAATTACATGATCTAATTACACAATTTCAACTCGCTTTTACTCCGAAACAATCGAATTTCACACAACTAAACAGGAAACGCATCGAATTGGAGAGCCAAAAAGCTGCATTACGTGCAAAAACAGAAATTTCAATCACCTCTGGTCGATCAGAAGCAGAAGGGAGAAGGCCGAGCGATCTGGCAGACCTAACGGAGCTCAGAATCTTCTCGCCGACCTTTGATAAATCCATTGCACCACCTTGGAACAGAAAAAAGGGGACCAAGAACAAAACCCCAGGAGTCTCAATGCCCTCGCTCAAATCGCCATTGAACAAAAACGGATTCGCCAAAACGCTGCCGAAGGGAGACAGATTCGGCTGCATTTCAATTCGAAACTCGGAGATCACGCGCTGCAAAATCCATTGCAGGAAGGAGCTGCGATCGCGGTTTTGGATCTGATGGTTTCAGCGCGAGTCCGCGTCGTTGCTTTTGTAGACTTGGAGTTCCCTCACTCTCAGCGGCTAATCTTTTTATTGTTAATTGCTGTTGAAAGGATCTGGCCAGAATACAATATATGGTCAAATCTCGCAAAACTAATGCACTATACTATTACCAATGCTTGAGTAAAATCCATTAAGCACGCGTTATACTTTGTGCCGATATGTAAATGTTTAAAATAATAAAATTTGTTATCGTTGGAAATAAAATAATGAAAAGCTAATCACAAAAGTGGGCATTTTTAATCATAGGATGCAAAACTTTCATAATTTCCAAAATGGGCATACAGAATTCAAATTTTGAGAAATGCTAAGGCGATTTCCAATCGGGTTGGCCGTAATGTTATAGGTCAAAAGATAGTTCTTTTATACACAAAATTCATCTCCAATGAAGATCTGGGCCAAAAAACCTTGGGATCCACATGGTCAAAATCTAGCCATATGGCCAACGAGCTGGGCATCCTTAGCTAGCCAGCCAACCATTCAACTGGCCCAGCTGGTTTTTTTTTTTTTTTTTTTTTGTAAGACGAAATTAAAAAAAAAATCTAATTTTTTTCTTATAAATACCTAAGACATTTCTACAACATTTTTCACATCATTTTCACCCTTTCATACCATTTTACCTCATTTTAATTCAATTCTTCACATTCTATTCACCTCCAACACTCTTTTCATACACAGCCTTCTCTTACATCTTCCAATAATCTTTCCTTTATTTTTTTCAATAATTTTCAAGTGGCCACATCTTCAGGTGGCACTCAAATTATGTCCAGTGGTTTATTCATTTAGCGACAACCGATACTCAAAATATGTCCGAAAATATTATTTTAATATGGTAATTTAATTCAATTAACCAATAAAATTTAAAAACAAACTTAAAATAATAAATTATTGAGAGGGCTAAAAAATAGTCTTCTTCAGTTGGAGATTGTATATAAATATGGTCTAGTATTGTTCATTAAAAAATAATTTCTTGTAAAGCTATAATATGGATGGGGGCTAAACAGAGACCCTTCGGTTAGAGATGGCCTAAGAGCATCTCCAACAATCATTTAATTGCCCTGGTAATTGGATTGAATTTGCCTTCAACCCAAAAAAATCATCTCCACTAGTTCCAAAATGGAGGGGAGATTAGGCCAAGGGCAGAAGCCCTTTTAGTTGCTAGTGCAACTTTCGCCAAGGCTTGCATTTGTTTGCAACAGGAAACGCCACATCGTTGCCAACCCGCGTACATATCTTGTTGCCCTTAGAATGAGTATGGGCTGGTTTGGTATTGCTGTGCTTTAAAAAAAAGCGGCTGTGAAAAAAAACGGATGTGCTGTGAGAATAAGCGGCTGTGAAATAAAGCAGCAAAGTGTTTGGTAAACTTTTTTGTAAAAGTGCTTTTGAAAAAAAAGCAGTATGATAGTGTTTGGTAAACTTTTATGTAAAACAGCTGTGGCTGTGTGAAATGACCAAAAGGTTATAATACTAGATGTGCTATTAATTTAATTTTCTTAACAAATAAAGATGAATTATTAAATATACTTTATTTTTAAAAGAAAAATATTTATAAACTTTATCTTAAATATTAATTAGTATGACAAACTATTTCAATTGAAATATTTTAGACTGAATAGCTAGAATTCATTAGTACAATATTGTTAATGTACTTGAAAGTAGTCTAATTAGATGCATTCATCAAACTTGCCGCTATTATATTTCTTAATGCCTCTATCTCATTTGATCATTCAACTTCATAATTTCGATATTCTTCATCATCATCATCACTACTATCGCTCTCTTCACAATAGTCTCTGGGGTCATCAAAATGACGATCACGTTCAGAATACCTCCGTATGTAGTTATGAAGAGCCATTGTAGCAATGACAATCTTCACTTGCTTATTGAACGGGTAATTAGGCATATCCCTTAAAATTGACCATTTTTTCTTCCATACCCCAAAAGTTCGTTCAATGATGCTCCTAAGAGAAGAATGTGTGTGGTTGAATACCACTTTATGACCCGTTGGTTCGGCACCCCTACGAAAGTCTGGGAGATGATATCTTTCACCTTTATATGGTCCCAAATAACCTCTCATTTGTGGGTATCCCGCATCTACCAAGTAATATTTTCCTGACAATTGAAAATTTTGTTTTGTATTGTATAATTATACAAAGCAAGTATGTAAAATGTTATAATATAAGTATGAAGATTACCATTTGGAGGCTTAGGAAAGTTTAAATTTGGATTTCGTAGCACGGATAGAAAAACCCTTGTATCATGTGCAGTGCCTTCCCATCCAGCACAAGCAAATGTGAATTGCATGTCAAAATTACATGCAGCCATAACATTTTGAGTCGGTATTCCTTTCCTACCAATGTATGGAACTTGATCCGGAGGTGGTATTGAAGCCTCAACATGTACTCCATCTATGGCACCAATACAATCCTAAAAATAATAACATTGAAAAAAACCGTCAACCTACACTTATAGTTTGCAAATAAGTTAGAAGACGAGTCAAAATTTACCTTAAAATAAGGCATGTATCTTGTATCTCTCCTTATTTCTTGGGGAATGCCACGAAACTCCGAATCCATCGGTTTGATAATATCTATTGCCATCTTACATACGATATCCAACATAGCACCAAAATATCTACTAATAGTCTCACCAGAATGTTGAAATCTCTCTTGCGCTAATCTATTTTTCACACCATGTCCCAACATATGCAAGAACATTGCTAATATTTCAGTAGCACTCATTCTCCGTGAATCTTTCAATCCATAATTAGTTTGCAAGTCATTGGATAATCTATAAAAGACATCTTTGTTCATCCTAAACATTCTATAGCATCGCACATGATTTCCTTGTAGTACTTCCATCAACCACATATTACCTGTTTGGGAAGAATTCATACACGGAGTTTTGTGGATATATTTTGAGTAATATGTTTCGACAGCTGTCGCTATAGTGCATATAATTAGACCATCCTCCAACTCCTCAACATCTTCATCATAAGTGTTCATATTGAATATACACCTGTAACCTAACACATAATTGAACATTCCATAAGTCATAATCCAACAATCACTAAGAAGTCATAATCCGACATTCAAGAATAATCCAACGTTTAATAAGAAATCATAATCCAACATTCAACATATAATCCAACATTCAATAAACACAAAATACAAGCAACATTCAACACATAATCCTAATGCAAAGTACAAACCACAAATAGTCCTAATTCATAGTTTTAGCTCTCTATTGTTGTTTGTTGAACATATATTTCAACCAAGTCAGCTGCACTTCAGGATCAGTCATAGTGGCAAACACCTCTCGCTTCTCTGCACTACAAAATAAACATGTAGCAAACAACCATAACTCGCTAGGTGGCTCACAACCAGGCAATTGTGCAACAGATGCTATCGCTTCCGCAATACTACAGCCTATATGCGGCGGCCTCATCAATGAGTTTGCAGAACTCCTACTTTCATAAACTTCAACAAGACGGTCAATTTGACCAGAAAGTTTTGCAGCACCTCCAATTTTTTTCCCCTTCTTATCAACCTTCTTCTTTTGAAAATCTCCTTGGTTGGTCGCTCTTTTTTTCCCCTTCCTAGTAGCTTGCCTTAGATCCTGCATGGTCTCACTTTCTTCCTCATCATCCAAATCAATTTGCCCTATAGATCATCTCTTGACTCTGGTGGTAGTACTCCAGATGAAGGTGCCCAAGCATGTTCACCGGTAGCAACTGTGTTCGAGAACATCCTATCTAACTTATCCTCCATCTCAGGACTAATGCCTTTTTTCCGCAATTTTCCATATTCTTTGTTTATCTACAAGTAAACAAAGAATATGGTTAATACATATTCCATGATATCATAATACATATTCAAAGATAAATACACAAACCTGAATTTTATTATTCCACCACTCCTCAGAGGCATCAACGGTGCCCTTGCTCGAATTCCACCCTAGGCCAGTTTCTTTACCAATTAGCTCTTTCCACAACTTCCACTCAATTTTAAGTGCATCCCACTTATTTTTCAGTTGCTTTCTATCATAATCATGCCCTGTCTCTGCCTTGAAGTTAGCTCTAATATTTGCATATCCATCTTTGTCAAAGTGAGTGCCCGGACGATGTCCGGCCTCAACCTCCTTGATGCAAACATCACAAAATATAGATATATTGTGGGCATTCCATGTAGCCACAGGATTTGATGAAGATGCCCCCTTCTTTGCCATCGATACCAACTACTGAATTGTATATATACATATATATATTTATATATTAAAACAAGAACAAATGAAAAATTTCTGAAAAATATTTCTTGCTTATAGTTTCATACTTATATATAAAAGCCTATGAGAAACATAAACCTCTTTTTATTGTTTTGCCATATTTCTGTGGGGAAATTGAAAGTAATTAATCAGCAGATTGCTAGTATTATGCCAATAAATTGAAGATCTAAACTTCAGTTTCTATGAAGCAATGATTCACCTTTTCCACACTCACTAGAGGTTTCTCAGTAAAACCCAAATTCAACAAATCACTAGAAGAACAAAAGGAAAGACTCCACAATCAAACAATGCACACCAACATATTAGGTAGATCAGTTCAAATCAGAATAATACATCACAACATATCAGAGATACACACACACACACATACATACAATAACACTTAATACAACAGATAATGAAGTAAAGCAGTAAACTTTCAGAAGCCCAAAGAAGTGTAATTGAACACACAAAATCCTGAAAAAACTAGTGGCACTGACCTCTCAGAGCAGAGGAACTTAGAGAGAAAATGGAGGTTGGGAATGCAATTAAAGAGTGAAATGTGATGAGGGTATATAAAGTGAGAGATGGGGGGTTTTGTTGGTGAGATAAAAACAAAAGAAAAAGCAAATAAACCGCATGTATTAATTGAAATCTATTTAGCTAGGTATCTAGAATATTCCGCATGTATTATGGAAATGATAAGAAACTGGACAACTTTAATAATAAAATGCACAATCAGGGCACAGCTACAGAGTTGCAGATTTGATAAATCATTTCCATGGGACATTAATTTGCACGTAAAAATGTGAAAACTTAGAAATACAATCTGCTTCTCACTGCTGAAGTTTGGTATTTTCAATTATGTTGGTTTTCAAGTATCAAAAGATGATGATGCTAGACAGCTACCAACCCAAAAACAAGCAGCATCCTATAATAATCATCAGCCCATAAAACCTTAAAAACAAATCCGTAAATTCGAAGTAAGAAACCAAACAAACAATTAAACAAATAAACCAAGAAGCAAAAGCAAATAAACCACATACAAAAGCATTGATTTCAATTAATACTAGTAATCACAACAAAATCAAAAATTTATTTGCAAGTTTCCAAAATTAACAATCGAAGTATTTTCAATTATTCTTTCTCTTTCCAGGAAACAATTAAATATTAACGAAAACCATAAATACAATACAATAGGAACGAACAATACCTAGAGCAAGACGAAGAAGATGAAACCGTGGCGGTGGAGATTAATAGACGGGAGGAAGCACAGTCTAAAAATGCAACATGAGATGGAGGATTAAAAGCAGTGTACTGGCAAGCATCAACAGATAGAGAGGATTAAAAATGGATATGCAAAAATGCAGATCCAACAACAACACACAAATCTTCTCAACCGAACATCAATAGATAGAAAAGGCAGGGGAGAGTGGTTTTGTTGCTCAAAAGGCAGGGGAGAGTGCTTCATGGATCTCATGATAATAAACCTTAATTCAAACCCCAAAACTGAAATTTAGAGAATTAATTCAAACCCCAAAACTGAAAATTAGAACATTAGAACATTAACAAATGTAACCACTACCCTATCAATTGAACCCAAAAACACAAAAACAAATGTTAACTAGGTAATCTCCTCTCTTTCATGATTTCCTTAAATAACTAAATCAATTTTGCACAAGACATAGAGAAAGTACGAGGAACCAATCAGAAAAATAGAACCAAACGAATCACACGAACTGATGATATATAGGAAAGAATTTTAACATTAAAAATGCTGTTTTTTTTTTATACTAATTGGATACATGGGAAGAACAAAGATGCAAAATTTATAGCAATTTTACCTGGTCTTGGGAAAATTGAGAAGGTGGTCGACGCCGCAACCTTTTCTTCACTAAGAGAGGGCAGTGAGGAGGAAGAGGTGCAGCGGCTGCATACGAGAGAGAGCTGAGGCGAGAAAATTTTAGGGTTTACGAGAGAGACCTGTCTTGGGGTAATTTTGGGTTATTCAAAAATTTCATTAACTTTTTTACTGTTCACCCGTGTTTTTTCTCTTCAAAGCCGCTTTGGGCTTTTGGAAGCTGCTATTTGCAGCTTCCCCATTTTGGCTTATTTTGATCTCAAACTTTGAAAAAAAAGCTGATTTTCAAAGTTTACCAAACACCTAATCCCTTTGGGCTTTTTTTCATAGGTGCTTTTTTTTAAAGCACCTCACTCCCAAACGGGGGCTATATATCTTATACTGTTATAAAATCACAAATATCCCAAAAACATTCCAAATAAATACAATTTGTTTTTTAACAACACACTTAAACAAATTAGTCAAGGAACAAACATACTATGTACACACTTACAAGACATACAAAATAAAAAAAATTATGAATAGTAATCGTCCTTACTCTTGCCCTTTCTCTTTTCAAATGGTAGACTTGCACGAAGGCAATTACTGTTTAGAGTGAATAATAAGAGCAATGAAATTGCCCTTCCCGCGTTCCTAAAACGAGTGGAGATGCTCTAAGGGACTCTCTCAAATGTAAGACTTTCCATAGACTCTGTCATCTCATATTTTTTTTTTTTCACAATGTTTTATAAAAGCAGTTCCAGCTTTCTCAATTGCAATGGGCATTGGGTGATTCAATCCACCAAAACCAACAAAAATGAGCTACACCCCAGCCCAAACAAGTCAAACAAAATAAAAAAAATGAGGCTCGACTGCTCACTTGGGCCAAAATCGCCCAACCCAGCATATGTGGGAGGGTGATGTAAGGGTGATGTCACCCACATTATTTTCTTTGTGTCAGGCGTGTGGGCTTCACCCTCTCGTGAGCGCTAGTGGACCAACGAATCCTACATTACTGGGGCCCACACTGCAAGCGCACAACAGGTTCAATTTGCATAAAGTTTCTATCTATAGTTCATATTTTTTCAAAAAAAAAAAAATACTTATTAGTTGTTTCCACGTGGCACAATATGAGTTGTTGGATTTTACAAAAAAATAATTCAAACGGTCCATGTTAATTAGGTAAGAAATAAGTATAATAAACATAAAAAATTACATAATCGTGACAGTGACGGAATCGGTAATTCTTATTCGAAATTAAATATAAATTTATTTATTTATTATTTTTTTTAATTTAATGTTAATTGCATAGGCAAACTTATTTTACAAGGTGAAGATATAATCGGGCAGTTATTGTTCACTAAGGCAGTATGACACACCCTAACCCAGATATCCTAATGTTACCTAGATGGCACGTGCTAGGCGACACCCGAGAGTGACGAAAGTCATAAATATAAGAATATGCATGAATATAAGAGAACCTGTAATTCAAAAGTCATATAACAAATAACGATGATTCTAAATATACAATTGCTAGGAGACAATAGTAAGATTCTGAATTAAACATAAGTGCAACGGAAGGTCCAACGATCACAAATCCAAAACAAAAGATGCACGAATATGTCCAAAGCACACTACTACACGGAAGTACGAGTGAAGGTAAGAAATCAAATTACAATTATCATAAGGAAATCATACATAAATGGAAGGTTGCAAAGTCATTGATAGAGAAATGCCTTGATGCTCGGGTCGTATTCCTCGTCATTATGTCCTAAGGGGGCGCAAAAACAAAAGGTGAGTGGACCATAATTTATACCAATACTAATAATACGAAAACCAATTTCCTTTCTGAACATAATAACCCCTTGTTTTGAAAACACATATATAATATTACATATAGGTTTTGCTAAAACTCTAGCATGCCCTGAAAACATTCATAGGTAATAAAACCATATGTACAAGTGGTATCAAAACGCCCAAAGGCAAAACTCAAGAATCTCAACACAAATCAATGATAAAATCAACTAGGGGTATCATAGTCACCCGAAGGCATAACCTGTCCATCACCTGAAGGTGAAGCTGTACGACACTGGGTTACGCCAGTGAAGAAACATGGTAGGTCTCATCACTCGAAAGTGAAGCTGTATGACTCTAGGTTACACCAGAGAAGAAAAATAGCTATATATAGCATAACACACCGACACTAGTCGTGGTTAGTGAAGTTGTCCGACACTGGTTTCACCAGTGAAGCTGGAGGTATAACACAAGTATCTTCAACTGTGTCATAAGGCCATAGACTACATACCCGTGTTGTGTGTATGTGTCGTATGATAACCCACTAGATAATCACTGAAAACATATCTCAAAAACTCATGCCAAAACACCAGAGCTTATAACTAAAAACCTGGTCAAATAAATCCATACTAATTTATATTCGTAAATCCACCGAATTTCATACGTATAAAACCAGTAGTTCATAACCTTTAGAAAAATGTAAATTCAATCATCATAAATATGTCGTAAAAACAATTTAAATAAATCACAAATTCTCTGTAACCATAAATATAGAAATCCATAAAGCATAATATAAGACATGTTCAAATCATGAAATATGAAATGCATGCTAGACTAATAGTTGTAAAATATTCAATTTGAGAAGGGGTCCACTCACAAATATTCCACTCATTGGGAGCCGCTCGAACTAGGGAGGACTGGATCACTTCTAACCGATACACTTATACACCAATAGAGACTATTTAATAAAGTGTTACTAAAACGATGGAATTTAAGAAAATGGACAACGAATTTGGATTCGGTATGTCGAAAAACCTAATGAGGGATCTCGAGTTCCCCAATGAGCCGCCACGGGACGACGACCTGGAAGGCCACAGGCAGCCACAACCACCGAGATGGGTCGCAGAAATAGTCATCGATGCTGCAGTGGATGACGACAAAGCACAGTACCTCCAGCAGAGGCGTTCGTGCTCCACGCGCCGGCCATGGCTGTGTCCACGTGTCGACCGTGCCAACTGGGTTTCAAACTCGGGTCGGATCTAGGCTTGGGTCTGAGGGGTTGGACCAGTTATTAGGTTAGGTCAATTATTGGATCGGATTTGTGCCTAGGCTATATATTAGGCTTGGTTATTGGGCTAATGGGTTTGGGCCTGGACATGGGTAATGGGTTGGGCTCAAATTGGGTTGCAGGTCGAGTTGA